TTGGGGGGGGGGGGGGGGGAGGGGGTTTCGTTAATTGTGTGTGAGAGAGAAAGAGAAATAAAGGGTGTGTGTGTGTGATAAAGAGAGAGAGAAAGAGAAAGAGAGAGAGAGAGAAGCAGCTGGTGGGGGTGGGTTACGCAGAGGAAGTAGGGGTAGGGGTTTGCGCAGAAATTAGAGAGCTTGGGATGGAGGGCTGTCTCTATATGTGTGCGAAGAAAGAGAGAGAGAAGTAGAGAAGAGGGATACTTGGCTGTGGCGGTGCCACTGGCGATTGTGGTGTTGCTAGAGATGGTATAACACAGAGTGTTCTGTGTTGAGAGAGAGAGCATAAGGGAAGGCAGAGAGGTGACATGCCTCTGAGAGTGAGTGAGGGAGAGAAAAGATTGGATGTGATAGATTTGGGGGAAAATGTATAAGACATAAAATTTCAAACACTCTCCTATTCTATTATATACATGAATTAGTAATTGCCCGTACCTGAAAGCACGACGTAACAAACAAAAAAAATCAAAAGCAAATACATGAACATTAAGAGACTATATGCCATAAAAAATTGTCAATTAGAAAAACTAAGAAAAAACATTGATAATATAATATGACATTATTTGTTTAAAAAAATTGATAGAATATAAGTCAAACAATCTCAAACATTGTTCAATGATAGTTTAATTATTGATTGATATCCAAATGGTAGTAAATTCAAAAATCATTGTGGTATGAAAACAATCAAATAAATATGAGATATAAAGCAAGGAAGGGGGATTAAGAGATGAAATATAACAAAAAATATAATAAATAACATCAACAAAACCTAAATCAATTAAAACTAAATTTTTAACAATCTATCCGGTTAAATTACACTTTTTGTCTTTATAGTATGTTGATAGTTTAGAGAATGCTTGTGCCTCTAAATATAATATTTTTTTTTCTATTCCTCCAAACAATTACAGCTAAATTCTTTCTAAAAATATGACCCTACAAAATGTGAAGATGTGCAAACCTTATCAAGTAAAAATATTTTTCATATATCAGACTTAAACATATTCGTGGAGAGATAGTATACCATCAATGGAAACTGGTCTTGATCAAATTTCATGATTAAATCCAACTACACTAACATTATCAAATTGAGAAACTGAATACATAAAATTTGAGTTCCGTAAAGAATTCAACTAAAATTCTCTAAAAATACAACTATATAGAACTATTACCACTAATACCACCATTACAATTATTACCACTTAGCCTAAAGTTTGATAACTAATCAAATTTTGTGCTAAAATTAAAATTAAATCTACCCAAGTCAACTATTTAAATTAATTTTGCTATTCAATTCAAACCCAAATTTCATCAACTAAGTTAATTTTATGTTGCACAAATTTGTCCCAAGAGCTTTACCACATCACCACCCATCCTACACAACTTCGAGATTAACTACCATCACTAAGACCACCATCATTATCACTTCCAAACTTAAAACATATCTTCAACAATCATTGGTACCGCTTCGAGAAAGCGAGCTTACTTTTAACTACAATTTAAGCCAAATAATGTATCAAATTGGCAACAAATCAAATGAACTATAAGACATATTGATAACAAATCAAGTTCAACTTCGAGATTAACTACCATCAATAAGACCACCATCATTATCACTTCCAAACCTAAAACATATCTTCAACAATCATCGGTTCCACTTCGAGAAGACGAGCTTACTTTTAACTACAATCCAAACCAAAAAATGTATCAAATTGGCAACAAATCAAATGAACTATAAGACATATTGATAACAAATCAAGTTCAATTTCGATATACTGCAAGAATAGTGTATAACTTACAAAATTTATGAATGTGCACAAAACATTAAATTGAAGTCATTTGAAATTTTTTAGAGATAAAATCTGTACTACTTTAAAATATCAGTATATGTGAAAAACATTTTTTTTCAACTTTGTCCCCTAACATCGCAACTATATCATCCATATTCTTAAGAGTTAAATGCTTCCCATTACTTCTTTTCAATCGTTAACCTCTCTCTCTACTTTCTCTACATTTTCCCTCTCTTTCTCTCGCTAATTATAGACTTGTGAATTCTCTTCAGTCGTTACAATCTCTCCCTCTCTCCTACTTTCTCTCCATCTTTTCTCTCTCTCTCTCTCTCTCTCTCTCTCTCTCTCTCTCTCTCCTGTGTAGACCCCTCTCTTCACCTTCCCCTCTTCGTCTCTCTCTATCCCTTTCTCGAATGTGAATTCACAGATTTGACAAGAGCACACCCCCTCCACCGTCCCCCTCAGTCTCTCTTTCACACTATCATGGCCCCTTTTCACCCTCCCCCTCTTAATCTCTCTCTGTCTCTCCCCCGCCCCCCCAAATTTGTTTAATTACATGTATTCAATTACAAAAATCAGTTAGGCATCCATATTCTTTTTCTTTTAATGCTTTGGTTGTGGCTATACACATCCCAACAACTAATTTGTATAATAAAAATGACTGCACAACTTCTTTGAAATCCTATTTACCATCGCCCTTCTCTATCCAAAAAATTCTTTGAAATGCTATTTACCATCGCCCTTTGCTCCTCTCTGTCAGACGCCGACTGCCTTTTGCGTCTTGGCATTACACAACCATCATTATATTGCTTTATCAGGTAATGAGTTTTTGTTAACAAATCCTTTTCGTAATTTCTACATTTACTCATTTTCCTCTTCTAATGTTATACACTTTTTCCAAAATTTAACCGGAAAATCTCATAACTTTACGTAGGAAACCCACTCCTTCTTCAAGCTCTCCACTGCTAGAGGATTTCCAACCCTTCCCTCAGACCAGGTAATTGTCACGTATGATCCAATTATTAGTTCAGATTTTTTTGATTGGTTTGGTTCGGTTAGTTTTCATTTTGGATTTTGTTTATTATATTATGTTTTGCTGATAAGATTACCAGGAGAATAAAATTATGAAATCCATCTGGAAAACAAATATTGAATTAGATATGATTTATGCTGGTGTTTTCTTTTTTTTGAATTTGTTTTTGAATCAGTTCATTATTCAATTTAGTTGTTGCAACACTGGTGGAGAACTGAATATTAACAACAAAAAACCAGTGATGTGAACTGCTGTTGTGCACTTGTACTGAAACTAGAGTCCATGCTCTGTTAAGATGCTTCCTTGCATATATATCAATTATTTGTATCCTTCAGAGTGATGCACATCTTTATATAAGAGCACAAATTTTGATTGAGCAATATCATCATACAAGAGTTTTGTGGACATAAGAAAATTCAAGATCATTAGTGGACTGCAACGTATGGGATAAGGTTATGGAGTAACATACATTGCTTAAAATCCCCCCTCCTCTTACAAAAAAAAAAAGAAACAAAACTGAAATCTTTAAAATTTTTAATAAGAAACCGATTGACAGCTAGCATCCCAGCCCCACATGCAGCAAACAAGCTAATAAAAAAATATGAGTGTAATAAGTGTCACTATACTCTTCATGATCAGGGTGTCATTAGTTCCTTCTGCTCCATCATCCTCTAAATCATTTGGGGTTCTATGTGGCCTACCCTGCACAGATTGCTCCTTAGAAGCACCAATATGATTGGGCCCCTCAAATGATACACCAAATTGAGACAATTCTTGCACTAAATTTGACACGATTGCTCATTAGAAACACCAATATGATTGGGCTCCTCAAATGATACACCAAATTGAGACAATTCTTGCACTAAATTTGACATGCCTTCAGAAATACTCAATTTCTCAACTGTATCATCAGTGTCTTCGTCAGAACGCAACTTGGTCGGTGATTCTTTGACACCATCTTGTTCCCAAGCTTGTTTCTCCACTCTTGAGGAGAAGTCGGGATGAGTTTTGCATTGGCGAGTACTTTCAATCTCAAGAGCATGGAGAATTAAATCGTCCTCCCTAGCATATTTCACAGCTTTCTTAGAAAACTTTGCTGCAACAGCCTTAGATTTTTCAATGCAATCATCATGTTATCCACATATTCCAAGCTTTATCCACACGGTGAATCTTCATTGATTCTTCAAAAATTGCAAATCATAGACTCTTAGGTGTCGTGTTATTCTTTAGCATCTTCAAAAAACGGAGTGGTACTTCTGGCAGGAAAGATAATGCTGACACTCATTTGAACTGTTCCATAAATGACATGAAATTCAATCAGATATTGACTTTCACAATAAAATTAAAACTTACAGATCATCAAATTTTGAATAATTTATACCTTATGTTGCTTGTATTTCTCTCTCACTGCCACCAAAGAGCTTCGTCTTTTACTCAATTGCAACTCATGTATAAGATAACCACAGTCCTTTAAATCAACACATGTATCAGCTGTGTCGTCATTTGTTGCAATTGACTATATAGAATTATCTGCACTGAGAGAGTTGGATCTGGTATTCGTGATATGGTTCTTGTATCTCTCTTCGTAATTTTACACAATTTAAGTGGAGAAAGTTCTTGTATTATGCAGACCAATAAAACAGTCGTGTTGGTTGCACCAAACCGTCACATAATATTATATCATCGTTCATCTCACAGTGATCCTCAATAGGAACTTTCCTTAACAGTTAATGAAGTCAAATTCATCAAGAGAAGGAAAGTAAACAGAAAAAGTACACCTTATTATCATTTAGTACATATTAAAATACCATTAAATAGAGTAACCATATATATCAAAAGACAAATGCCAAAATTGAGATATATTATTTCTTCTTGATATAAAAATCATGCACGTTTATCTCGAACTTAATTTGATCTAGGTCCCTTCAATATACTTTCTCCCAACTTCCTTCGACAATAAATCACCAAAAGATTGATGTGTAAGGGGTCTCATTAATATTTAATGGTGAATAATTTTGTGTTCAAGTTAACGAAAGAGCATTCCCCAAAGACGTTAACGAAGCTCAGAATTTTTATTCAATACATAGCAGTACAATTGAGTAAAAAATAATAATAAAAACATAGCAAGTTCATCCTAACATAAACACTTATCAAAATATAATTCTCCTCGAGTCAAGTGCTAATCTTCTTAAACCAGATGAGTGCTCTCGGTTGCCAATGAGTGGATGGATATCATCAGCAAGGTATAATTGTCCTCCTTGTACATGAATTACTCCTTGAAAGTAACTCCTAAAGTAACCTGATAGGAACCATGTGATCACTAATAATCTCCTAGATTGCTGTATAAGATCACTTATTATTATTATTATTTTTGTTATAATCTTCTTGACCAAACGTGTTGAATCTTCTGCATAACCCACACGAGAAAAAACATCAACAATCAGCCAAATGGACTGTAAATCTTACTGCACCATAGACGACCAAAAAACTAAAAGCTAGGACATTGAGAGTGATACAATACCTGAGAAATGTCTTAATTGTAGGATTTCCCATTTCAAACTCCAGGGATTTGAGTAAATCAACTTCCATCTTCACCACCTCTTCTTTACTGTACGTATTATCAGTGATGTAACAAAAATTTTCCACATGGGGAGGGTTGATTTCTTCATACTTCCTATTTCATCACCACACAGCAAAAAAAATTAATATGCAAAAACCCAAAAAGCATTTCCCAGAGAGTAGTTTTAAATCCACATTTTGATGCTTACAAGGCAATGAGCTTTGAAGAGACACCCAAATTAGCACTTACAGATCAGATATACTTTGACAATAAAATTAATGTCAAAAGTTCCTTGTGTAGAATTTCATAATCCTCAATTTGTACAATTGTTGGTTACAAGAATATATAAGAATATATTTTCTATTCTAAGCTATACAGGTTTTACTCCTATAATTATGCTAACGTGTTAAGGAAATAATTTCTTTCCATCCCACTTCCTATGATTGCTCCAATTTTCCATTAATATACAACTCACGCCAACACTCCCCCTCAAGTTGATGCACATGGATCCTTCATGCGCAACTTGATTAGTGAGTTGTGGAAATCTTTACTTGACACAGGTTTGGTAAGTATATCTGCGAGCTGGTCTTCAGACTTGACAAACGAGAACCGAATTGTATTAGTCTCTAGGTTATGTTTGATGAAGTGCCGATCTACCTCTACATGCTTCGTTAGATCATGCTGAACCGGATTGTGTGAAATGTCTATGGCAGCTTTATTGTCACAGAAGAGATTCATTTCAGACTTGGGAGCAAAACCAATTTCGGCTAGTAATCTTTTCAGCCAAAGAAGCTCACACAATCCCTTGGCCATCCCACGAAATTCAGCCTCCGCACTAGACAGTGCCACCACCTTTTGTTTCTTACTTCTCCATGTCACAAGGTTTCCACCTACAAATGTGAAGTACCCTGACGCCGACTTCCTATCAGAGATGTTCCCAGCCCAATCTGCATCTGTATAGCCATCAATTTCCACATGATCATTCTTAGAAAACATGAGTCCTTTTCCTGGAGAAGACTTCAAGTACTTTAGTATCTGAATTACTGCTTCCATGTGTTCCTCACTTGGATAATGCATAAATTGACTCATTACACTCACAGCATATGCAATGTCTGGACGAGTATGAGAGAGATAAATCAACTTGCCAACTAATCGTTGGTATCTTCCCTTGTTAGTTGGGTTTTGGTTCGAATAAACCCCAAGCTTGTGACTTTGGACAATTGGGGTATCCATTGGCTTGCACTCCAACAGTCCAACTTCAGATAATAAATCTAGGACATATTTTCTTTGGGACAAAAAGATGCCTTGGATTGATCTGGCAACCTCTATCCCAAGGAAATACTTGAGTCCACCTAGATTCTTCATTTCGAGTTCACAAGCCAACTTCCCTTGGATCTGTGATATTTCTTCGATATCATCTCCTGTAATGATCATATCATCAACATAGACAATTAGAGCTATTACTTTGCCTTGCTGTTTTTTGAGAAATAAAGTATGGTCTGCATTGCTTTGTTGGAAACCATACTTCTTCATTGCCAAGCTAAATCGCCCAAACCACGCCCGCAGTGATTGTTTTAATCCATACAAGGCTCGTTGTAACTTGCACACCTCATTTGTTCCCGTGGTCACTGAGTAGCCTGGCGAAATGTCCATATAAACTTCTTCTTCAAGTTTGCCATGGAGAAATGCATTTTTCACATCCAACTAATGTAATGGTCAATCTAAGTTTGTTGCAAGAGATAACAACACTCTAACAGTATTTTATTTAGTTACCGATGAGAAAGTTTCTTGATAGTCTATACCATATGTTTGAGTATATCCTTTTGCCACGAGTCTTGCCTTGTACCTTTCTACAGATTCGTCAGCTTTGTGTTTAATGGAAAACACCCACTTGCACCCCACTATTTTTTTTCCTTCCGNTACAGATTCGTCAGCTTTGTGTTTAATGGAAAACACCCACTTGCACCCCACTTTTTTTTTTCCTTCCGGTAATGGCACTAGGTTCCATGTCTTGTTCTTCAATAGTGCCTCCATTTCATCTTTGATTGCCTGAGTCCACTTCGGGTCTTCCAAGGCTTCCTCCACCCTTGTTGGGACCTGACACACTGAAATTCTATGCACAAATGTCTTGAGAGGTGCAGTCAGCTCCTTTGTGGACACATAATTGGCAATAGGGTATCTTGATCTTCTTTTCTCAATGTCTGGTGAGTAGCGGCTTGGAGGCTTGCCACGATTGTGCCTGTCAGGTAACACATAACCAGCAGGAGATGCCATGATATTTGTGTTAAAGGAGCTTACCTCAGGATCATTCTCAGGAGTTGGGTCTTTGGGTACCGCAGAGAGGGAAGAAACTGCTGCTTCGTGATCATTTTCATGGTGTTCATAAGCCAAAAAGACACCATCTACTTGGTGTTCAGTAGCCAGAGAGACATGTTCTGTTTGCCTCAGTTCCAGTTCTGCTTGCTTCGGTTCCACATGTGTTTCAGATAAGCTTAATTCCATCCAATCCAACTCTTCCTACCTAGTCTCCCCCTGAAGAGGAGAAGTGGGTGGAAAAAAAGTTTCGGTCTCCATGAAGGTGACATCCATAGTAATATAGGTGAGACTAGAAATGGGGTCATAGCATCTATAGCCTTTTTGATGAAAAGCATATCCCAGAAATAAGCACCTACGAGCACAAGGATCGAGCTTCGTCCGCTGGTCCTTATGGAGATGGACATATGCTACGCACCCAAACACACGAGGTGGAAGCATCAACAGTGAAGGCACAGGAGTATATGCCGAGAGTGCTTGTAATGGGGTTTTGAAGTCCAACACCTTCGAGGGCATTCGGTTGAGCAGATGACATCAGCCCAAAAATGACTATGGGCACCAATTAAGAGAGCTCGAGCAGTTTCAAGAACATGTCTGTTTTTTCGCTCAGCAATTTCATTTTGCTGAGGAGTTTTAGGGCATGAAGTCTCATGAATAAGGCCATGTTTTACATATTCACCACCATTATTCGATCGAAGTACCTGAATCTTAGCAGAAAAATGTGTTTTCACCATAACATGAAATGATTTAAACACTCCCAGTACTTCATCTTTATGTTTGAGCAAATAAAGCCAAGTCATACGGGTACAATCATCAACAAACAACACAAAACANGAAGTACCTGAATCTTAGCAAAAAATTGTGTTTTCACCATAACATGAAATGATTTAAACACTCCCAGTACTTCATCTTTATGTTTGAGCAAATAAAGCCAAGTCATACGGGTACAATCATCAACAAACAACACAAAACATTTGAACTTGNCGGGTACAATCATCAACAAACAACACAAACCATTTGAACCCGGATACAGTAGTAATTGGGGACGAACCCCACACATCAGAGTGGATCAATGCAAATGGAGTATCCTTTTTATTTGAACTTAACGGAAAAGAGACCCTATGACTTTTTGCCAATATGCAAGTTTCACATTGAAAATCAAAATGTTTCAATTGAGAAAACAAATCTGGGAACAAATATTTCATATAGATGAAGGACGGATGTCCTAATCGACGGTGCCAAAGCTAGATCTCCTTTTCTTTGACATCAAGAGAATGTTGCATATCATGCGCTCGGCCCACACTAAAGTCTTCCATATAATAGAGTCCCCCTCTCTTAGTACCACGCCTAATGATCTCCTTGGTTAGAATGTCTTGAAGAAGACAAAAAGTAGGATACATTATGGTAATACAATTAAGATCAAATGTCACTTGGCTCACGGAGATAAGTTTATGAGATAAGGATGGAACAAGTAAAGTATTATACAGTTGTAAAGTAGGGGATAATGTCATAGTGCCCGCGCCAATGACCGGGGAGAGAATGCCATTAGCATTGGCGATATTGATATGTCTTGGTAGGGTGGTCTGTGTGAAATCTGTAGCGGTAAATGTCATATGGTCAGTGGCGCCGGAGTCCAGTAGCCATGCACCACGGGTATCATCATTATTTGAAGTATAGCAAGCACGACCATAGTTGCCTGAGTCCAGAACCAATGCCATCTGTGGTGTGAAGGAGAATTGAGGCTCAACAGTAGCTACAACTGCTTTACCAGAACCCACGTCTTTATCACCTGTGTCACGACGTTTCTTAGCCCGGAGATCATTCCACCATTCAGGGTACCCATGCAATTTAAAGCAATTCTCACGAGTATGTTTCTTATTGCCATAATGGAAGCACTTCAGGCCCTCTGAAGATGTACGAGATTTATGTTTCCCATTGTGCAAGGTAGGAGGTTGGTCAAAGGAATCAAGTCTGAGTCCTTTGGTGACAAGAACAACTCCAAAAAACTGCATCTGCATTTCCAGTGAACATAACAGCCTGACGAATTGCTTTACGGCGAACGTGGGCATAGGCTTGCTCCACGGTAGGGAACGGGCGAAGTTGCAGCACATCGCCCCGAATCTTATCTAATCGGTCGCCCAGACCATCCAAGAAAACATACATCCAGTCTTCTNACGTGGGCATAGGCTTGCTCCACGGTAGGGAACGGGCGAAGTTGCAGCACATCGCCCCGAATCTTATCTAATCGGTCGTCCAGACCATCCAAGAAAACATACACCCGGTCTTCTTGAAGGATAGTATTATACTTTTGAATGTCAACTGCACACTCCATTGGATTAGGGCGCTGGAAGTCAATCTCACGCCATAACCCTTGAAGGTCATTGTAGTATTTTCTCAAGGGAGCCTCCAACTTGTTTAAGTTGTATCACACGATGTCGAAGATCATAGACTTGAGATGTGTCACTCCGGTCGAAGTAAGTGATAGCAATGGAGTCCCACACCAACTTAGCTGTAGGAAACCGAATGAAATTCCCTATTAAGGAGGGATCCATGGAGTTAATCAACTAACCTTTGACAATGGTGTTGTCTATGCACCATTTTCAAAGGATAGATCCGTTGGAGGTAGTTGTGGTACCATTAATATATCCTAACTTGTCTTTGCCAGAGATATACATCTCGACAATTTGGGACCATAGGGCATAGTTGGTTCCATCCA